AAAAAAACATACTCTACTCTCAATCTCACCCATAGATATAAATAACTCATTCAGAGTTTTTGATCTCTCTACGGTTTGAAGGTTAAGGGCTGCTTACACCATGTTTTTTCAACTTTTGAAATTATAAATTTTTATTTACAGAATCCTGAACAAGGGCAAATCACTCAAAAGTAATACAACGCTGCTGAAAAAGTAATACAACGTGAAAAAAGTAATACAATTTTTTAGTGAATTGATCCTGAATCCTCGTAATCGGAAATCGAAAAAGTAATCCATGATCATGGTGAAACTAACATTATTTATCGGAGCGTTTTTACTGTCTGTGTTAGGTCACACGGAAGCTGAGGTTTGTAGTGATGTTTCTTTTTTTATTTAATCCTAGTTATTTGTTATCATCGCCGAACGTTCACAGAGAAATGAAATTTATGACATTTCGTTAAACGCGCACGCTTATAATCTCATAGCGCACGCTTATAATCTCATAGAAAATTTGTGTCAAGACATTCTGGAGCGCCGTCGATCTATGACGACAAAATTCAGTACTAGTCGGTGTTATTATGTAGTATTTTGCAATTTGTCGAAATCATTTCCAGCTATTTGCAGGTGTATTCGCCGTCACTAATCGACGGTGCTGCAGAGAGTCTACTTTCCCTACTATAATCGTGTGGTTACAACACTGCGGTTTCTTGACAGTTCCCATATAAAAAAGCTCCGAAGCGCCAACTGGTGCTAGCAAGTGCTAGCAACTTTTTCACTCTTCTGTTGACTAATTTGACATTGGTTTTGACATTTTGTTTGTAGTACACTTGCGAACACCAGTTGGCGACAATGATGGGAAGGCATAGCGTTTTGTGGTTAAGCGTCATCGCAACCCAGGATAAACAATACATTTAATGGTGTTGTTATATACAAATGCGATAGAACTCATCGGAAAAGAAGATGTTAGCACCATTAAATATATTGTTTATCCCGGTTTGCGATGACATTTGGAGGTTATGTTTTCTGTGTTTTGGCTGAATCATTTTCGTATTTGCAGGAAAAATTAGAACAATTCATAAAAGTACAATTGGAGAACCTATACAAATACAGGAATCATATTTCGAAAAATTATTTAGGATTGATAAATTGGTTTGAGTCTCAATCAAACTTTGAGATAAATAAGAAAGTGTCGTGCGATTTGGGTGGGTTGGGTCACAGGTGTATTTCTGATTTCTTCGACAAAAATTGCTTATGAAAAATACCTTTCCAACGGTACTTTGTTTCTTGACCAATTATTTTCTGATATTACATTTTTCGGTGTCATCGAATACCGACACAACTCACACCACACCCCCTTATATGAATGGTTTGGAGCAAAAATGTAATACAGAAAAGTTGAGCGGAAAAATGTCAAATGAAAAGGGATAGCTATATAGTTCACTATAGTTTACTATACAGTTTACTATATAGCTATCCCTTTTCCGCTCATTCATCATTGACATTTTTCCGCTCTACTTTTCTGTATTACATTTTCGCTCCAAACCATTCATATATGTCTATAGACTGTTTGTTAATTTTATTGCAAAATTCTTCAACAAAGCAGCTGATATCAAATAAAAAACTTTCATAAAGTCAATTCTCGTGCCGAAAGCGAACACAAAACTTGTGATATCAATTTCAAAAAATCATTTCATTTCGGAGCGATGGTAACAAAAATAGTCAAATCAAAATCGCTCCGATTCGCTCTCGCCAGGCGCGATAGTTGACTTTGGAAAAGTTCTTTCTTTATTTATTTTTTACTATTTGATTAAAATATTCCGCCAGCATTTGGCGGTGTCAATAGAAGACAAATACAAAACACAAATGTCTAGAAATTCACACGTCAATAACATTACTATTAGAACTTCTATTTCACGCTTTATTCTGATCAACAGTTACTAAAGGGCGAAAACAAATATTTCATTTCCATACATTGATTGTTTCTTCTGCTGAAATTACATTTGGAAGTTCACAGGCCATACAACAAAAATTTTATAATTGCAGAATTACTCTATCGATTGGATTTTATGCTAATTTTATCGTGATTTTTATAAGGAAATGGGAAATTCGGGATAAATAACTGACAAATGTAATGGAAATAACCTTCATTCAATAGATCTTGTCATATTACTACTTAAACGTGTGAATACTATTGACAGTTTGTCGCCACTGTGAAATGTCAAAATAATTGTTTGGCGCCCTTTTGCGCTTTAATAAACATCAGCGTACCTAACATATTCATGCTGATCTGTTCATTACGTTTGTTTGTTTGAAATGCAATTCAAGGAAGTTCACAAATATAAAATATAAATTTTGATGAGTTCTAAAAATTTAAATTGAAAATCATTGCATATCTACTTACTTCCCACTCGTGCCCAAGCAAAAAAAAATAGTGTTCACCGAAATACCCAGTGATTCTTCTCGTGATTTTCAAGAAGTAATGGACAAGAAGTATTTTAAAAAAAATAAACTATTATGTGCAGTTTAAATCATTTTCGTCGAATCGAAAAAATAGGTGAAGGTAAATTAAAAGGTAAACAATTTTAAAAAATTAGTGTAGCAGTTTTATTTTGTTTCTTTTCAGGTACATATGGCGTAGTTTTCAAAGCAGTCAATACTGATAGTGGTAAAATGGTCGCACTCAAAAGAATCAGATTAGAAAAGTAAATGAAAAAGAATATTTTTCTGTGTGAAACTGAACTAAATTTTATGTATTTCCAATTAACTTTTTGTAGTGAGTCTGAAGGCGTCCCCTCAACTGCAATCCGTGAAGTTTCCTTATTGAAAGACCTCAAGCACCCATCTGTCATTGAATTGTACGATGTTGTTATCGCAGATTCAAGTTTATATATGGTATTTGAATTGCTTAGCATGGACTTGAAAAAATTACTGGATAAAGCCAAAGAAGTTTTTACACCACAATTAATCAAGGTACACTTCAATCAGATGAACATTAGTTGTTTAACTTTCAGTTATCCATAGAAAAAAATTTAAAGTGCTCAATTTTGGCAGCTACTGAATTGCCACTAAGACTTTGCGAGCCCGATAATGAAGCCTACAAAATTAATCTTTCATATATACATTCTTCAGTAGATGTATACGGAAAACTTCTTTGCTATTATTAATCGTAGACACAAAAAGAATTGTCGTGAAAATGAAAAGAATAATTTACGTAATTACGTCATACTCGCAAGCGCCCCTCCTTCTTACAGATTTATTCGGTTATGTCGATCTATCGATTGGTGTATCATTACTTCGTATCAACCAATGACATTCGGCAAAATGAGCGAACTATTTACCTCGAATAGAATCAATTTTTGTTTGAAATTTTATATATCTAATTTTCAAGCCATCCTATTTATGACATTGTGTTGACAACAGATTTTTTTTGACTGAATCTATTTAACGAATTTTCCCGTGTTTTTACCGATCTGTTTTCCTTTTTAATAATTTGTATATTCAAAAATATATAGTTATAACCAGATGTAAACAATTCTATCATTTCAGAGTTATATGTTCCAGATTTTCGATGCAATTTCATTCTGCCACCTAAATCGAATACTTCATCGCGACTTAAAGCCCCAAAACTTACTAGTCGATGAGTATGGTCACATTAAATTGGCTGACTTCGGACTTGCACGAACTTTCAACATACCAATGCGTGCTTATACACACGAAGTAGTAACTCTTTGGTACAGAGCTCCTGAAATTCTACTAGGGACAAAACTATATGCAACGAGTGTTGATTTGTGGAGTTTGGGTTGCATATTTGCTGAAATGGTTAGGAAGATTGTACCAAAGCAATTCAACATGATAAAAACTTATACAAATTTATACTTCATAGAAATAATTTCCATTTTTTTCGCTTTTTTTATTAGATATTACGAAAACCTTTGTTTGCTGGCGATAGCGAAATTGATCAATTATACAAAATATTCCAAATGATGGGAACTCCTAATGAGCAAATTTGGCCCGGTGTATCACAGATGCCTGATTTCGGACTGAAATTCCCAAGCTGGAAGCCGCAGCAATTGCCAAGTTTAATTGTAAAATATAAAGACAAAGACTTTCTGGACTTGTTTAGACATATAATGGTTCTAGATCCCGGCAGAAGGATATCAGCTAAAAACGCTACGCAACACTCGTTTTTCCGTAATATTGAACCAGTTACATACGTTTCCCTACCGCTAGATGGGTAATCTCGAATATGGTCTAGAATTGACTACTTCAAAGTATACTGTACATCAATTATGGATTATATGAATTCAGACTGGCCTTTCTGACCAAAATAAACACAATATTCAACAAAACATTTTATTTATTTATTTTATGTAGGTTTCTTCCCACTAGCAATTTCATCCAGTTCCATGGCGTCCACTCTCAAAAAGTCCTTTTTTGAAAAAATTTGAGAATTCAACTAATGTTTTTTTGTTCAAACCATATCCGTTTGACCCTTCGTAGAAAGGACATTGCGGTATTTTCGAACAGACTACTATTAATCGACGCAAATAACTTTCTAACTGCCGACGTCTATTCCGAGCCACCGATTCACTTTTAGATGCAAATAATTCTCGACTGGGAAATGGTATTTGATGCACCTAAAATAGATTATTATTGTTTAAAATTCCTCTGGGCTGTAGAACAATTCATTTTATTATATCTTACTTTTTCTCCATACATTGTTTTCATTGTTATGTGAAGCTCTCGAAAACGGCTATATCGCCGCATAATGATCCATTTTTCACCAGGTAATGTTATTCGAATTTCATACTCAAAATGAGTTTGTTTACCGGCTCCTCTCAGAACGTAGCTTGGAATACTAATAATATACTCGGAATCGCCTGTCAATAGACATTTCAGAGTTTAAATTTACAGTAATGAAGGGGAATTTAGGGAACTATGGGGTTCAACACAAAATCTACTTTTATAAAATTACGTCAATAGCGATTGTTTTCCAAGAAAGCTTGAAATCAATTAAAGACAGAACGATGATTTCTTACCCTTTCTAGTGATGATATATTGCGGCGTCATACAAATTTAAAATTGAAATTATAAAAAAAAACAAAAATTTTCATAAATGATTGTTAAACCATTGATATATATCTATAGGTGAGATTGAGAGTAGTGTATGTTTTACTGACTTTGTTATGAAAGAGAAGACTAAAATTATTTCGACATAAAAATGGTTAAAGGCGAGTATGTTCATTTTTGGCGTCACGGTTTTTCGCGGTTTTTGTGGAACTGATAAAAGATAACAACTTAGTCTTTTCAACAGAGTTTTAGTACTCGAGGTCCTCTATAACTTAGCTGAAGACAATTATCTCTTATCTCTTATCAGTTCCGCGAAAAGCGCGAGAAATGATAAGAAAAAAACGTCCATATAAATTTTGCTTTTTTAATTGCGCGATTTGCGCGAATCTGATAAGAGATAAGAGATAACTGTCTTCAGTTTAGTCATAGAGGTCCTCGAGTACAACAACTTTGCCGAAGACACCATGTTGTTATCTCTTATCAGTTGCGCGAAAACCATGAAGACTGCGGAGGCTAGACGGTACTACAACATACTCTACTTTAACGCCAACAGAATCATCAGAAAACATACTCGCCTTTTCAAAAATATAAATCGAAGAAAAAAACATACTCCACTCTCAATCTCACAAACTCCACTCTCAATCTCAGTAACGTTTATGAGGGTCTGTAGCAGTTCAATTCTGTCAATTTTAGTACTATTTAGTACTACGTAGCATCACCTATAGTTGTCCAGAACCATTGAGAGGATTTAATAGTTTTTAGTACTCTTTCAGTACTTTTAGTACTTGGTTTGCAAAGCCTATAAGATGTCTAAAAAGTTGCTTCAGAAACTATTGCTCTATTTCGAGTAGTTAGGAAGTTATAGAACTCCGAAAATGCTCGATGATATCGTTTGGTAGCGACAAGTGACTTTGAGCCAAAAAAGTAGGCTAGATGTGATTTTTTTGGGATAATATGTTCAAGAGAGTTGTTTAGTTTGACGCTGGCTACAATAATGCCGAAGACAGAAAACAAAAAAATGGATATTTTATGAGTTATGGTCGAAAAATTGAAAAAATCGTCCATTTTTGCGACATTTTGCTCCACAGCACCTACTAGATGTGATTTTCATGTGTAAAACGTTCATACAACTTTGCCAAAGACAGTAATAAGCTATCACCAAGAACGAACGATTTATTGACTAAAATTTGACATAGTTCATATCGCCGAAAAACCATGTTATTGAAAAAACGCCTAGCGACGCAGCGCCTTGTTGTCAATTCCCATACGAACGAGCCCAGAAGCGACAACTGCTGTTAGCAAGAGTAACTACAGTACAACTTACGTCAAATTCAAAAGCTTGTATACGTATGTATACATGTTTAAGTTGCTCATCGAGCGATTTTCAGTTGTCCAGCTCAATTTAATTTTTTTTTCTATTGAAGAACGTCAATATTTTTTTAATCCGATGCAGAAAAATCTCGTTCTGATTTTGAAACGTAAAGTCCGGGAAAGTCAATTTTTTTCTCGTGTTTTTGTCAATACAAGAGTAACAAAGCCGATGATAAATGACAAATTATGACACATTGATGTAAATAGTGAAATGCTGTTCGATTCTGAGCCATGAAATAATTTTTTCTTTTAATTTTGAAAATATATCAAGGGATATTAATGACTTCAATGAAGTCAAGCACGTTTTTATGTTCGTGTGAAAAAACAACCATTCAAAACCGTTCAAAACAGTTGATAACAGTATATCCGAGTATATCCAATAACCGGAATATGAAATGTCAACAAATGAAATTACAACTCGATGGAACTTTTTTTAGTCACTCTTGTGTTGACAAAAATACGCAAAAATACGGAAACATTTTTATTTGAAATTTTAAAATGAGAAAATTGATTTTTTGCATTGGAATGAACAGTTAAATACGCTTTTTGATTAAAAAAAACATAACATGATTCTCGTCAACAGAACGTAAACAAATGAAGTGACACTTGTTCGTATTTATTCAAAACGGTGAAATTCCTTCTGGGTACTCTTGTATTGACAAAAACACGAGAGGAAAAATTTGATTTTACGTTTAAAAATAAGGATATTGATTTTTATGCAACAAATATTTACGCTATTTAGTGAAAAAAAAAATAGAGCTGGAGAACAGAAAATCGCTCAATAAGCAACTGACACATGTATACATATGCATACAAGCTTTTGAATTTGACGTACGTTGTACTGTAGTGACTCTTGCTAAAAGCAGTTGGCGTTAGTGCAGAGAAGGCGCTGCGTCGACGCCTAGGTCGAAAAAATGAGATCCCCTGCCAATTCGGCAAAACCTAGCTGGGGTTTTACTCAGCTATAGGTCTACTTTCGTCCCCACATAGTCACGGTGAAGTTCTTTCGAACTTTTTGAAAATTGTTCCACTGTGAATACTTTTCTTCAATCGTCAACAAAATACATGGAGTATTTCTATGTTTTGCTACACACATACAATTGATTGGATACTGGGTACACCAGCACTACATAATGTGGTGTAAATTAATTTCAGCACCCAAATTTGTATGGAAGCTGCACGTTTCGCATCTTCTGTATAGTTATTTTCTGTGCACAAAATGTTCAGCTTGTAATTGTAAAAAGACGGAAAAATCATGTTTCTCATGATTCTTGGAGTTGTTTCCTATTCAGCCTGTATTTGGCGGTATCAGTTAAATAAAATGAAATACTGAAGTTTTGCTGTATTTATGAAGAGAATTCCAACAATGTTTGAAATGAGCAAACAGTATGTATTGGGTCTGCAACCTGAAAACCGGTTTTTTTTTGATTTTTTAAATCTTTATTTAGAAAAAACGGTACAATCGATTTTATTCAAAGTATTGGCCATCGTTAGCTATGACTTTCCCCCATCTTTCTGGCAATTTAGGGATTCCATCCCAAAAGGACTGCGCCGGCTTGGCGGCCAAGAACGAATCAAGCCAATTTTTGACTTTTTGAAAACAAGTGAACCGTCCTCCACTTAGGTGATATTGAATCGACTGAAACCAGTGGTAGTAAGAAAGCGCAATGTCTGGAGATTACAGCGGGGGCATAAAGTATTTTCAAAATAAATAGCTTCTTAGAAATTTTGGACTTGATAGCCAAAAAGTCATTGAAAAAATTTCCTCAAAAATTCGCTTTTTTGCGGCGAAAAGTCAATTTTTCGATTTTGCTGTCAGAAATTGGTATATACCGATTAGTTTCTGTTGGGAACGATAAAAGCTAACATTTTGATAAGTTTCTACCACCTTCCAATGCACCATATCTGGCCCACCCCCGCAAATATGAAAAATCACCCTTTTTCGAGGGAGTGATTGTGGCGCCCCCTATAATGACAAGTAACCACGATCAAAATGTGGTTTGATATGCTTGTGTCTATCGACAAACGTCCATTCTTCACTACCAGTGTCCACTCGATAAAAGAATAATCTATTTTTCACATTTTTCCCGTATGAAAAAAACTGCTCCCGCAAATGCTGCTGTTTTCGCCAATTTGAAAAATTTTCCTTAGTGAAAAAAATTATGATGTGCACAAAAAAAACAAATATTTTTGGCTGATGTTGACAGCTTATGATTAGCCCTTTGAAATGGTATATATGTCATTGATGTGCGCCATCGCATATGCAAGTGTCGCCATCTTTCGTAAAAAACCGGTTTTCAGGTTGCAGACCCAATAGATTAGGGTGGTGCGATTTTTAAAATCGTACAAATTCAAAAATGGACACTGCGCGTTCGTTTAGGCACCTCAAAAGAAGAAACTTTTGTTCTGGGACATATCCAGAAAAGACGATTCCCACAATCCCCACTCAATTTTTATCTGGAGCATTTTTTTATAATTTTTTCAGACTATTTGTTGGAATATCTCGAAAAATACCCACTTTTTGTGCACTCAGACTATCATATTTGGATTTATCGTGAAAAATTACATAAAAATAAGTCGGTTTGGAATCATTCCAGCGCGATTTTGTCGCCTTCGTAGGTCAAAATTCGACCAAGTATCCATTTTTTGGCTACTTTTCCGCAAAAACTCACCTCTGTACCCTCAAAAAACCTCAAATGCATGGCCAAAATTGACTGAATTAGTCTAACTTTTGACGAGAAATTCAAATCTCATTATTATATGCACATAAAATAGTGATTTGGTGGCTCTACAGGCTCGAATATACTCGAAAATGGCCAAAAAATCGCCATTCTACGCTACATATAGCTGAACTGCTCCAGTTTTATTCGAATTTGAAACATCTGAAGAGCTATTTCCACTTAATTTTTGACGTAAAATTGATTTCCGGTTTCATTTGTATAGGTTTATGTGATTTTTGTGTCGTAAACTGCGTCTATTTTAAGCAAAATGACAAAATTACGCCCATGAGCTTCGGTTTAACAGTTATATTACCTCACTGAGCACACAATTTCTACCTTTGCTGCCTTTAAACTTCTAGTGTGATCCCTCACAAACATTTTGAGTGCCCATATGACCAGATCAAGTGATGTGTTCATATATTTCTGAGCTCATATTCGGTTGGTTCAATTTCAGATCTTGAAAAATCGACTTTTGTTCAAAAAAATTCCAAGTATCCACATTTCATGGTTGGTGTCTTGGTGGAAAGTTATTTTTTCTCAAAAATATGGGCAGTCTTTACAGACAAAAACTCCAAAAAGTGATTTTTTAAGGAACTTGTCGAACAAAAGTGACGATTTTTACGGATTTTGTTATGAAATTATCATTTTTTGTTCGAGGGGTACCTCAAAAAATCACTTTTTTGGGTAGGTAACTTGGCAAAAAGTTTTTTTCTGTGAAA